ATTTCAAAATTCTATATTTCGTTTTCCATCTAGCCTATTAGAAACACTTCACGTTTCAAAATTTCTCACTTACTAGTTACCTGCTTTTAGTTCGTAAATTGCTCACATCATACTCAGTCTTCATATTCCACCTATCGTCAGCTGTCCTATTATTAAGAACGACAGTGACAGTTTACTTTAATTAAGATCTTTCTCGCTCCCCCATCATTCACAATATAATTTTCCCTAGTTTTGCTAGTATTTACGGGTACTGAACAAACGAATAATAAACTTCCAAATATACCATTTTTCCTAGACGACATTTTCTGCCTCCTCCGGCTATACAGTATCCAAAGTCTCATTAAAATGATAAAAGCTGTATTTTTAGATCTGGTATTTTAGGCGTAATTAATGTGCTTCGTGGCTGAAAATGTAGATCACTGAAGGGAAAAACACTATCGACTGTCTATACCAAAATAAACGAGTAATTACAAACTTATTGATAAAGATCGCAAAGTTCCGTTACTTGAATATGGTAACAGTTGTTCGCCAGTCAACGTTTAGCGACAATCTTTGAAAATTAGTAACAACAGTGAAAACCTACAGCACATTTGCTTGGTATTATTTTATAAGTCACAATATTCGTGAACACCGTGAAAAAACCTTCGCCCGACCAAACTTCAATTACATGAAAAAATGACCAACACGAAGCCAAAAATATGAGCAAACAAACAAAATCGATGGTTTCAAAACTGCGACTCGTTTAATAGATTGAGATAGCAATCCTTGGAAACTCGAAAAGGGCATGGTTGACTTTGTTGTTAGTTGAGTGAGAATAATGGCAACTGTCAGTCAAGTGTAAGACCTTTTAATATCAGATTCCTTTAAAAATACTATGGAGATCCAAACTATTCTCTTCTTTCTGCCTTTCGGTATATGTGCTTAGGCAAGTATATCAAAAATGATGAGTGCAGTTTGAGTTAATAAGAAATGATGGATTGTTGATTTTCGTTTGTTTCCAAAGGACCTGAAACTAAAGTCTCCCGAAACCCTGACTCCCTAGTTCGATAACTATGTAAACTGTAAAGTTAATTAGATAAACTAGATGAATATATTATGACTGAGAGTTTATAAGGAATCCCAAAGATGGCCACGTTGCATGGCATAACGAAAGTCTAAAACGTTCTACCCCCACTTTTGATATGTGGTAACCAAATATAAACAGAAAAATCAACTGATACGAATTGAAACATTATGATCAGAAGTTAGAACAATTTTTTCGACCACTTTTATGTTCAGTATGTCTCCTACTTTTACGGGAATATGTAAGCATATTTAAGCAACATAGACCTGCATTTCACTTGCTTTCCATGTCAAGTAACAAGCGATAAGGCCTAAATCCTTGAACCATCTGGTTTCATAACCTAACGAGGGAGTAAACATTAGTTCAGCAGTTCCTTTTTCGTAAATTGCAGATCAGTAGCGTCTGAGAAATAGAGCCGAAGAGTAAAGCAGCGCATATCTTTAATTTGGTTGAGTGGTAACCATACGCTTATTAAGTCAGCAATATTCCTCAAAATCAGGAAAAAAATAACGTGAACATATTGATCAAGCATATATGTCGCAGACATTTGATCTATCTCAAAAGTTTTCCCGGTATGTTTTTTTTGTCAAAGCAAATAAACCCGAAAATTGCCTTATAAGTCTTAGACGTTTATTTTGACCTCATTGGTTTTAGTGGACACACCCTAGCTGAAGACACTCAGTAGACCATATTTACTAGATCACCACTGAACCACGCCATGCTGTGCATTCCTACCAATATATTAACTCCGTAGACAAATTCGTTACAATTGCTAATTGGTTTCTACAGAACACCAGAACTGCTGATACCAGGGTTTGTTCTACTGAGGAAAAGCCTCAAACGATGCAAATCAAAATCTCAGATGCCGATAATGTATCACTGGTTTCCTTGGTGTTCACTATGCTATCAATGACCCGAAACTCCGCAAAGAAATTCACTATAGAAGAGATCTGTTTCTGGACCACGAAAAACGGATACATTGAATAATGCCAACACTAGAACACCTACATTAAATCTTCTAGAAATTGCAGAATATCCCGAAGTTTTTCCAACTTCAGACTTTTCGTCGAGACAAACATTTCGGCACATGTTAACAACATCACGTTGACAATGCCGAAGATGTTAGTGTCCTCACTGCGAATACGAACGGTCTTCCACAAGGTTCACCATTCAACTTACGTGTGGCAAACGGAAAACTGACCGTCAATTACTTTAAAACGTACGTTTATCTTGACGTGGGTTTTCGCAAACTCATTCAGATGAATTTTGTTGTTGCAGATGTATCAGTGTCAATCAACGACATAGACCTGCCACAACACCATTACCTACTCATCGACCCGAGAAAACGGAGACACTTTGACGGTAATACTAGGCTATCTGTTTGCGGAGTGTCATTTTATGATTGAAGGTTGTGCGCTGTCAAAACTAAATATAGAATGGACCATACTTACAACACGATCTCAACTACCGTGTTGGACCGACAATATTACACATCACATCGTGACGACAGGACTGTGTTCTCCGAATCGCGCTGAACAGCCCTCGAAATGTTGGGAATGGTTGAAAACGAATTCTATGGTATGATAGATTTTGAAATTATCATGCCATCAGAGTCGTTTATTCGATAATCGGCTCAGTTGAGGCATACAATCGAATCCTTAAACTGCGGACAACACATTCAGAACATCTGTCACTACTCTTTTCGGGCTATGAGGACTTTGGCGTATGTCTTTTGGTTTTAAAAACGCCGCCCAAACTTTCAAAATGCATTTGGTAGCATTCTAAACTCTTCCCAAAACAGTAGCACGATAATGGGTCGAGCTATAGTACTCTTGCCAAAGAACTTCAAGATATGTATTGCCCTGTACAGCATTTTTAACACTATGTGGAAGGTCAAGGATCCACTCCGTTCACCAACTGCGAAATTATTAACCCGTCTTTAGAGAAGTACTCTAGGGTCCTGGACAACTGGACAACATCTCGCAGTTTAATTCAGGAATACAGTGCATCTCCAAAGCAAGCTATGTAGTCACAGATATCTTATCTCTTGCAACATCGAACAATTTTCAAGTAGCTTACGTTCTTGAACTCGGCCAACTACTAAAAGCAGATAATGAACTTCCGTATCAGTTATCTTGTATAACTCGGAAACTACGAATCGAACAGATAGAAACGGTTAGGGGAACTTCACCTTGTGACACATCTGCAGGTGCGGATCGCCTATTCGTATCGAAAAACTGTTAACGTAACAACTCCAATACATCGCACGAACTTTCATGCCCGTCAGTTTGGTGAACCATCAAACTCAAAACAGAAAGATTTCGCTAGTCTTGTATGAACAAAGACGCGATGGTTTGGGTACTCTTTTGTGTAAGCTGCCGGAAATCTAAGGTGATTAGATACAATGAAAGTTCTTGGCTCCGGTTTCGACCGTGTTTATCTCGATCCGGTAGGACGCTGTCAGACTCATATATTCTATCTCTAGCCTAAGCTTGTTCTCTATCACGTATTGGTAATTGTTACAATTCAATGAGTTGGTGTAGACGATGAAGTAACTTCCACGTAAGATCTTATAGATTAGGCAGTTGCATCATGACAAATCTACAATTTATGGATTATGTCTATTATTAGAGCAGTACTAATATCATAATAGACCATAATCCTACAACCTCTGTAACAGTGGCCAGCATTTTTGTTGAACGATGGGTAGAAAACATCGGCTGTCGCTCAACCATTAATATAAACCGAAGACATTGATTCCAGTCTGAACTCTTGAGCTTTCTTACTAGATTGGTAAGCATCATACGATTCTAAACGACTTACTGCCTCCCACAGCTTAACAGTATGGTAGAAAGTTTTCACCGACAGTTGAAATCATCACTCTCAGCTACAAACATGTTAGAACAGACTGACACTTCTACTTGCGTTACTCAAAACCCCTACTGCAGTGGTATATAAATCCTTGAAATAAGTAGTTTCGTAAGTTTTCGGCACTGATCCTGATTTCATTAGTTTTACAGGGCAACAGGTGAAAATTAAACATTTCGAGCCATGCACACTTCATAATAACTAGTCAGCTTTGGTCACGCATTTTTCTACATAGCGACAAGCCTCCGAACATGCACTTGAATTCTTTTATTCCTGACTTCCGGGTTGACCGAATTCGGGATCCTCGACTGTAGAGATGTTGCGGACAGCAAGGGTGTCAGTAGTGGTGGATTACGTCGTGTAGGTTGGAGTTACTTCAATAACCAATTATCTCGTGTAATTTCGCATTACCAAACGACCTGGACTTACACTATAATGGTTGTCGAAGATGCAGAAGCAGAAAGCCATGTGTAATGTAATATGATTTCTGAATACATTATGGCAAAAAATCAATAGTATTGATTGACCAAGGAAGTGTGTAATGTGGACTGGTGCATCAGTCAGTTACTGTATGAATTATTGTGTCATGGTAGATAATTCACAAACTTTACGCGGTAGAGAGACAAGCGGATGTACAGGCCTATATATATGTATATATATATATAAATGGATAAAAACCCATTTAATCACAAATAATAGCAGAATAGCAAATAGGATTGTGATTACTTTATTTTTCACATGATCGTCCATGCTTATGAGAAATCTCATAAGTTTAGGTTGCTGCAAATCCATTATAATATGCCTGCATGTTGATGGCGAATATGTGGCTAGTACAAACAACTTTTAGGAATGAACCGAAATGCAACAAGACACGAAAAAATGGAAGAAGATCAAGCAATTTAGTTTGAGTGTTACACCTAGATAAAATGTAAGCAACAATCCCAAGAGCTTAGTTTTGATTTTTTTCATCATAGAATTTGGACCTAAGTTATCAACTGAATTTAAAGTCCTATATTGACTATTTAGTCAGATTGACTAGATGTGCAATTAGATTAAAATACAGTGAAGACGTTATACCAATTCACTGTATAGAAATCCGTCCTCAAAAAAATCGAGGCTACATGATAGCATGTTAAATAGTTAAATGTGATCTACGCGCCAATTTCCTAACTAACGTAACTGTAACATTGCAATATAATTAGACGGAAAAGAGCTTTCGTTTAGAATTGTTCATTAGTTGGATATATTATTCTTTCAGCAGTTACAGTCAGTTGGAAGCTAATCGAGCTAAGAATTTGTACGCATCTCATTGGGGGATATTTTCCGACGGTAATTCGAACTGATAGATTTTCTCACTACACAACATTTAAAAGCTGTAGTGCTTTTAAAACAACGTGCTATTTACATCATGTTCCGCCAACTAAATTATCCTAATCTGAGGACTGCATGATTGCTAACTGACACCCATATTTCTACTTTTTAAATGTATAACTGTTGACGCACAAAGTCAGGAAAAATTTGAAGTTTTTGTGCCATTTCGCTCAAATTTCCCCGAATTTTACCATAGCGGCTTCCTCAAAATGGGTCAAATATCCCCAAAATCGGGAGCTTGCGTTGTGTGCGCTTTCTGAGTGTCTATCTCATACACATATGGAATTTATGTAACACATATGTATTTGGTGCTTTCTTATATCAGTGTTTATTTGTTTAAATAAATAAATAGGAGCCTTGAAACATTTTGTTAATTAAACTCAACGGTGTGGTAATCAGTTTTTAGTGAGTTACAAAACAATGTTTCCCTACTTCTTTTACACTGTAAGCTGATGGTAAATCTTTTTTATGTTTAACGGAGTTTTATCAATAAATTCTTTACATATCAGGGTTGTTTTATCGTGGATTGTCATAGGTCTCAAATCCGTTGTTAACTATAAAATAACTACATAATAAAGAGCAGTTATTGCCAAAACTGTGCTTTACCGATAAAGTAATCGGAATTAATATACGATAAGTGTGCCATTTGATCCTTTAAACAGCTACAGAAAATTAAGTTCAAGCATTTCTATTTTATAAGACGTATCACATTCAGAAAGAACATAATCGTTTTTGACTTCGATGCAAATGCAACATACTGAAACCAAATTATGGGCACCATGTTCTATTCCTCTCGTGGAATTAGTTGTTTTTATCCTCATAAGAAGTCAAACGACCTTCGAAAGACGCCAAAGTAACCTTTGAATGGTCACCTACCTACTGGAGTTAAATGAGGGTCATGAATTAGTGTGAGGAATTAGAATTTACAGTTTGACGTTGGGGTTAGGAAGTAGATTTAGGCTTTTCATCATGAACTGATATCACTTATAATGCGGAAATGCTGTTTAGCCATGTGGATAAATTGGTTTTACGCAAAAATCCAAAACTTTATTAAGTCTGAATAGTTCGTTCATAAATTTTAGTTTTGCTCAAAACCTCTTATATTCTCATTGGTGTTTAGGACTGCAGTTATTCAGTCTCTCATTGGCATTTGTGCATCCTGCCTCGATATTGTCTTAAGTCACAAGCATTCTAAACAAAAATGGATGCAGGTATATCCAGATGACGAGCCCTAAATGGGACGAAAAGCGCGTCCTGGAATCCACTACTAGCCACCATCTACCTTCGATTTCATTTTTGCCTACTACATAAAAGTAAGCAGAAGCTATAAGATTGTGACATGCAGTACTCCACATTTCATTGGATTCTTGGATAGCAATGTTTTATTTTCTCTCGTTCTGTCTTCTATCATTTTCATTCTGATCTGCAAATTTGCCGTTGAGTTCAAAATATTCTAGATAGCGTATTAATTTGCTGTTTGTAAATCTCAATTGTGCTAACTTATGGTACATCTAGTGGTAATCGTTCAGTTCTTTGATTACATTCGGTGAACATATTACTTATATATATATATATATATATATATATATATATATATATCATAAACTGACTTCCTAAATAATTATGGAAGATGGGATTTATGAAACTGTAGAAATTTATCATACTTAAGTTAAACTGAATGTGTCATTAACCGAAATCCCGAAATATAAGTCACTTAATATAAATATCGACCAAGAATTCTAGGTGAAAACAATTTTCGTAGTAATAATGGAATAAAATGACGATATCTTAAAAGTGTTTTTAAATAAAAGCTTTGAGTTGTAGATGACCTACGCTTCCGCAGCATAAACCAGGTTAAAGCTTGAACCTCTCGTAGGCTTTTAATGGTTCCAGTAAATGATGTCAAATGACAAATTTCAGACTGAACCTGCTACATGTTGAAAAGTGGATGTAAGTGACCTATGTTGTCCTTTGCTAGACTATGTTGGTAGATGCTTTCAGATGCGGTAAACAAGTTGCCTTGAAGGACAACTTGGTACTTAGCCGAACAGGAACAGTTAAACTGGTGTATGCACATAAAACTGGTTAGTTGTTCCTGCTTAGCATATAATGGGAAGCACATAGAGGGACAAACAGTATATTGTACGGAGATTTATTTCACCAAATTTCTTTCTAATCGTTCTCTAGAAACGTTTCCCAGGTATAGCACGATAATCATTCTAAACTCTCGATTCGTCTTATGTAATTTTCTTCGCCAATGTGTATTTGGTCTGTGACGGCTGTTTCTCCTTCATGTTATTCTCAATAAATCATATTAAATATCTTTTTTCTGTGAAGGTGAATTTCAGAATGTTCAGTTCTTTCTCAAAGCAGTTTAATGAGCTGATTGTTTGGTAACTTGAACATCATTATTGAAAACTAACCATCCTCTAAATTGTTTACGTACGACTTATAGTCAATATTGAGAAAGAAGCAAGACAATTTCCACTCTTTGGTCTCTGTGGCAATAAAACCCATCAAAGTTTATATTTGTTAATTGCTGATTTTCCCTTCATTGTGTAGTAAACTCTATAACCATATTGGGTAGTATACACTAACTAATGAGTAGTAACTGAATTTTACTTTATGCACCATTGGATTGAGTAAAACACAGCATTTTATTCCTATCTTTGTGGATTATGATAGATCTTTACTACACCACACTAAGTATTAGCTCACGCAATGTGTATATGCATGGTTTGTCGTATGAATGTTGTATTCAGCAACTGGCTTATTGTTTGTAAAGTGTTTGCCTTGAGACTTTTTCAACATAGTTATTTATTTTTGTGATTTATACCAACATTTTTGGTTTCAAAACTAACAATTTCCTTCACTTATTTGCATCCACTCTATTTGTTTCTACAGGCTAGATAATCGAATCTTTATGTTGTGTAAAAGCTAAAATCTACGAGTTCCGAATTTTTTGACATACTGGTTTCATAATCTTTATCTCAATCATAAAGACGTTGAAAATGGCTGCATGTGTGGTAGTAATTTCTGATACTAACCAATTGCTTTACTTGAGAACTGCTGAGTGTCCTGATCCTTTATTCTACCACTTTAAAGCACATTCTGCTTTGGATGTTATCGAAGACAAATTATCCAAACGTACAACTTCTGGTGGTAATCACGATCAGCTAGAACAATACCTGGGACTCCTATATCCAATGGAGGACCACAGAATTTATGGTTATGTGACTAACACAAAGATCAAAGTACGTGTAATATGCAAGACGGAGTTGTCACAAATTTCAGTATTATTGTATATTTGTTTACTTTTTAAGAGTAGTTTCCACAAATATTAAATGAATGTAATTGCTTTTTAACATTTTTATATCTATTCAGACCTAACGCAATAATATTGTTGGGTTTCTCATAAAGAAAAAAGTCTGTATAAACGTTAGGATATCAACTAAACTTTCATGCCGAGTATATAAAAAACAAATTATATCTGTAAAGCTTTCGGAAGCTCAAATTAAATAGTCCCAGGATTCCGCCCAACATTGTTTGCTTATTTTATTTGAACACATAGATATTGGTACAAGGAGGCACCAGATACATACGCGCCACACAAATCTCATCTGGTATGTGTAAGGGCTGTGATACTGTCCGGGTGCCCAAACCGAAGCACGTGGTTTTCTTAGGGGGCCACACCCCGAGCCTTCGACCTGAACGTCTGATCCACAAGACAGTGGAGCATCGTAAGGAGATGCAGTCCCATTGTAGCCAGTGACCAATAATTGGTTCATACGTCATTTGTTCCCTCAGGATACTAGAGCCCACCCGATCTTCTATTTTGAATTTTCTTTGTTTCTCTAGAAAAGTTTATCAAATTCTTAAGCAAAATGTTAGGACAATATATTTGCCAAACACCAATACTCTCGTGGACTCCATATAACTTCAAGAGACAATATTCGACTAGAATACTTGTTAGTGGGATACGTGATTTCACCCTTGAACTAATCATTAGTCAGTAATCTAGAATGCTTGAAGCAATGTTTCAGGATATTTTTTCTCTTAATACATCTATTATATTTAGTATCAATAGTTTAAAAACTTGTACATTCAACCACTATTTAAATGGTTACATTAACTATGACTAGTAACTGTATTAAACTTGTCACTTTTCTTAATTTGGAAATGGCTACGTACCCTAAATCAGTCACAGCACAAATATAAGTAGTTTATCAGCTCTGCTTACTTTCTACATCTACCTTGAACAAAGTTAAGATATATAGATGCTTACTTACTTGCGCCTGTCACTCCTCGTAGAGGAGCATAGGCCGCCCGCTCAACCCTTCTCCTTTACCCGGGCTTGGAACCGGCAATAACTCTAGAAGAGCTACAGGTGGAGTTACATATGAATGCATATCTGCAAATCTTTTGGTGAAATCTTATCCACGTCGTTGTACCATTATATTCTTGAATAATATTTGTTTTTATATAGTGGCAAAAGTAAGAAATACTCTGTGTTTTGGCTTAAATTCCTTCCATGTAATATAAATGATAAACTGTTAGTTTTTAAAGCAAATTTTACAACGATTTACATTCATGATGGTAGGAATGTATATAGATTGGCATAGAAATATGTATTCTAATTACCTTGCTAGTGAATCGATGAAATACTTTCGTATATGAGCTAGATTTGAATGTTCGTTTTCATCAATTTATGAAACCAAATTACTTTTATATAAGAGAATATTAGAGTTTATCGATAATGTAGTTGTAGTGTTTTTTTTAAAATCTTATTAGCTACACACACCATAGTAAGTTGTTTAAATGCTTGTCCTTTGAAAATAAATGTAATGAACTTCATTAGTCAGGTACACTGTAGATGGTAGAGAAGATTTGTTGCTCAAGTGGATGATTTTGGTGGGGTTTTGTTCTCTGAGCTGGATGGTTTGGACTAAACCATCCAGCTCAAGTTACATTGTGGAGGGTTCTTTCTATCTCGAAAATAAGATTTCAAGGAAGTTTCACTCACTGAGCGAGATGGGGAAATTTTAAAGTTCTACTTGTATTTTTAGATGATATCATCAAAACACGCCTCGAAAATCATGTTCATATTCTAACTGTAGATTAAACTGAATTTATTCTGCACGGATTGACATCCCACCTTGTCTTTCTAGAAAAATGTACTGGATGGTTTGAGACTTAAATTTGAAATTATCAAATCAGGTTCTTATTTGAGGATGCTTCACTTTTAAACTATTGATACTATTCACTTTATTCAGTACTTTATGTATAAATAGATCCTTTATTGCAAACTAAGTTGTTACTGTTGTTAAAAATGTATGATCATTCCTTATTATAGAATCAAATTTTTATTTAAGTTGCAATTTTTTTTCTCTTATAGTTTATCATGATTTTTGAGTCACATGTTTTGTCTTCTCAATCAACCCAATCCAATGTATCAGTTCATCAAACACATCTTCGAGATGTTGATGTTCGAGCAATGTTTCAACGTTTGCATACCGCTTATATTGCTTTAGTGTGTTCACCATTTTATAAGCCAGGAACACCTATTCAACCAGATAAATTATCAGCTGCATATCGATTTGATCAATGCATTTCTTCACTTTTAGCTACAAATGCTAGTTCTGGTTATTGTTCTACATTTACTAATCTAATCGATGAAAGCAAAACATCTACGGGTGATGGTATAACAACAACAACAAATATGATGTCTCCTAAAGCCTAATATTCATCTGTATAATTTTTTACTTTACTTAATATAACTTGAACTTTGTACTCATATTTTTCTTTAAATGTTTGTTTGTATGTATATTGTGTTGTTTCGTATAATGAAATTCCAGGTTTTTGTGTTGATAACCACTTACATTAACACAAATTACATGTGATCATAAACAACATCATAGCATCCTCAAACGCGTGGCCGTGTGAAAGCATTTCGAGAGGGAGAGCGGACTCTCCCCACCCTCGGCCGTACCAGGGCATTTGGGGGCTGGTGTCAGGAGTGGGATACGAACCCACGCCAGGGAAGTCCTACTCACTGCCTTCTCGTGGCGGGGGTGTTGTTTACGAAAATGAGAGAACGAAAAGCGAATTTCCGGCGCTTTAACCGGATCCCAAACCAATGGTGCACATGGGCTCCAGTATCCTGAAGGAACAAATGGTGTATGAACCAATCGTTGGTCACCGGCTACCATGGGACTGCATCACCTTACGATGCTCCACTGTCTTGTGGATCAGACGTTCAGGTCGAAGGCTCGGGGTGTGGCCCCCTAAGAAAACCACGTGCTTCGGTTTGGGCACCCGGACAGTATCACAGCCCTTACACATACCAGATGAGATTTGTGTGGCGCATATGTATTTGGTGCCTCCTTGTACCAATATCTATGTGTTAAAATAAATAATAAATAAATACGCATCCTCGAAAGTATTATGCAATATGATGTGATAAAAAGATTTGGTTTTGTAGTCCAGTGTCAACAAACTTATTTACGCCTGTTACTCCTCGTGGAGGGGCATAAGCCGTCCACCAGCAATCTGGTTAGCGTCTTTTTAGCGAGTTAGTTTTCTGCGGGATAGGGCCGCTAATCCCATGCTCAACCCTCCTCCTTTACCCGGGCTTGGAACCGGCAGTAACTCTAGAAGAGCTACAGGCAGAGTTAGTGTCATCAAAGGTCGTCATAATCTATATTGTGAGCAAGGGCTTGGGTGTCGTAGCTTGTTTGATCGTGATTTGCGATTTGATATAATGAAAATTAGGTTCAATTCACCGTCAGATTTACTAGTACATAGCTGGCAAATCAGTAAAAGGTTGAAACATGTACTCTGAATCCCATTTCTATTTATTATTAAAGTACTCAAAAATTACTTTGTCAGAAAAAAGTATTTTTATAAATACCTGCTTCAAACTATGAATAACTTACGACTTCCGTCCTAAAAATTAAAAGGAATACAATGTCTATGTTATTTTAAGTCATTCGGACAAAGCACATTCTCGACCGCTACAACTCCCTTGGTTATCGAATTGAACGACGACAATCTGCGAAGCCATTGATTTTGTGTAAGTGGTGTATGCTAAACTGGAAACATTTTACCTGAGTTTCTTAGAATACCCAAACTTGTTATTCAGGTACTCAAATTAATATAGCTCAGATGTCACGCATTTTTTATCTAGCTTTAAACTATTGGCAGTATTATTCTCTGCTGGTATGTTTGTTACCCTGGTTTTCTTTTAATATGCTATTTTGTGATGCGTACTCTCTTAAAGTATTAACTTCTAAGTCAGAGAAATCTTCACTAAAGAGATCACTACATATTTTAATGGTTCATTGAAGTTTTATGTTTAATTTGTATCATATCTTATTAAGTAGTCTAATTATACTGTCACAATGTTTTTTAATAAGAATGCTGTAGGGGTATGAAGTTAATGTCTATCAAAGATCACTAGAATGTCATTAGTTCTCGAGATGCAGCATTTTACCGATAAAAGGATGTTGATATAAAGTGTATAAAGTGTAAATAGGGATGATTATTATTGTTAGTACTTTCCCTCAGTTTATATAGTTTTTGAATTACATTAAATTCTGCCCATAGAATTGTTCTTATTTTAACGTAGTCTTTCCTATAATATATATACTGCCAGTGGGTGCCAGACTTGACAATCATTAACACCAAAACTATCTCTCTCAAATCCCCAACTTCATCCGTAATAATAACCTTGAAAACCTAGAAGCCAACACATGAACTCAAAGTTTTTTTTCTTAACCAATTGCTTATTTCGGAGATTCTAATTGGCAGTTTATTTGGTTAATTTGGATATCATTCTGCCCTTTTTTAAACACGCATTCAGATATAAAAGTTATATTGTTGAATATAATTATATGATTCTCATCTATATTGCTTATAGCAAGGAAGATACTTTACAACTGTTCTTCGAGAACTAGTTTAAAATGTCAAGTGTCGTCAGATTTCTTGGGAAAATCGATCCACAGAGTGAATTAGAGTTTTGTAAATTATAATTATCGGCTTTAACGTAGATCTCTATTTCTTGTTGAGGTGTATGAGAATTACCTGTAGCATCTAAATTTAAACTAACTGGTAACTTTCATTTATCCTTTCCACTTCACAATGTTATTAAGTGGACACTCTGATGTTTCTTATCCCTTCAAAACTTGGCGTTGTATCTCTTAATTAATGCTGAGTAAGCTCTAGGGTCAGAACCCTTCGAAGAGATTATCCACTGGTGCCAAACTTTCCTTCTTCCCAGTGGCGAGCGCTCTGTGCCTCGCTCAAATTAGGACCATGTCTTTCCTGGTGTGTTCTTTTTCTGTGGTACATTGTGTAGACTGAAATTCTGAATGGTATCCTTTACTATCTTCCGGTGATCATCTACTATTAGTCTCCACCATTCTTGCGGCCATGCTACGTGTTGAAGATACTCCTGGTCATGTATTCTGTATAGTGTAGCAAAGGTAAGGGACATTCTCGTTCCTCAGAAATATCGCATTTATGATCACGTTAAAGATGATTGTGCTTTGGTTACTACCCACTACTGATGCTTGAGGATGGACACACTCGACTAGAATCTGTGCATTTGTTAGTGAACAGTCTCATTTCGAGGGTCTTCTGTATCTATCCCATCAAATGGCGCCATCCACGCATTCGGTTAGTTCGGAATTTCTAAAGACTGGTAAATAGCTTGTGTGATTACTCTACAGTAGTTGTATCCTGCTTTCTGGGAAGGGGTGGGGTGTTAATATCCTCAGATAGTCGTGTCTCGTCGAACCCCAGGTGTTGTAAGTTGTAACATAACCTAGGTCATAGTATCATTTTAGACGCTAAAACCTGTGCGAGGCCGATATGCTCCTCCAGCCAAATACCTTTTGCCAGTCGCTTTCAAGCAACACCAGCGTGATTATGTTATCACGGTTAGTTCTGTACTGCATGGTAACAAGGCTTTGGTGTGGGTGGTAATGCATATCGTCACTCCTACTCTTGTTTTGTGTACCCTACCGTATCTAAATATGTCATGCCTTGCAAACTCACTTATTCGCCCATGACGTTAGGTGATAACCCTGTTTCAGTTAGAACTATGACCATTAGACCTATCTTAAAACATATGGTCCCGGTTTCTTCTAGTTTAAACCTGAGTCCTATTCGTTAATTTAGAGGTAATTAATGGTTTGTCTCATTATCCGGTGCTTCTCTATAACGGCTTCTGGTTTGTAGGTTGATTGCTGTTTAGAATGTACTGGTCGCTGTAATTTTGGCCTGTATAGCGTATCTCAATAGCAATGCCGTGGTCTCTGTGTTCTGTAACGTGAGCTGGCAATCAGGATCAATCGACATCGAACTGTGGTTTTTCCGGTCTTTTTGCTGTTGGGTTACTTATCTAGGTCAGGTTCTACAACGTCCGATGTAACTGGAGGTCGTTTTTCGAGCAGTAATAGACCCAAACAGGTTTTTGGAATTCGCAGTCACCAGATACAGACACTTAATGATCATGAGCCCTAACGGACTAGAGTTCCTGAATATGTACGTTATCTTGGTGATGTAAATACCTATGCTGTATGACTGCCGATGCCAGTTGTGCAATGAATAGGAGCAGTAGACAGCTGTTAGGAGGAGTTACGGCAACAGTCTAGTGAAGTGTACAACGAAAATATCGGTAAAGACATCAAATAACAAAATAAACTCCCTCATTCTATCTAATATTCCACTTTCAGAGAGTAGTATTTCGGAAGTTACAGGCGATTCTGCCGAACATCGTTGGGGCACTTACTGCACCCTCATGGTATGATTACTACTTCCGCCAAATGGTTCCGCCTGTATAAAGATCAACGTACGACGAAAAGTGAACCTTCTCTACTGACAATAGCCCCGAAAACGGTATATGAGGTGGAAGTTAATCGGTTGGTTTTCCAAAGGCTGGTGGAAAAATGGTTCCCAGACGGCCGAGTTGAACATAGCAAACCGTGGTCTGTACGAGGCTGCAAAGTGACCATCAATAAGCACAGTGGTGCCAACCAGTATGATGGCCCATGATGTACCTGAGCTATCGTGTGGTAGTGCAGTCGAAGCACACGTGTACGACATACAACAGTGGAGGTGGTTAACACACGTTAACATTCCACTGTCTTTCATCGCTGTCTACCCGTTAGTTCCACGCTTATTCAGTCAGTCAGTCAGTTAGAAACAACGTGGAACTTCGTACGTACGTACATCAGTTCGAGATGCCATACCACATTAGCACAGAGATTCAGTTATCGTCTCAAATCCCGTAGTGGCAGAATAGTGAAAGTATAAGTAGTGACAGGAAACGTTAAGGTTTGATGATGTTATTTAAGGAGTATAGTCCAGTGGAATATATTTGGAAAGAAAATAAAGGACATGGAGAATTCAGAAGATTAGAGTTTGGGAGAACACAAAGTGTGGATGCACCTACGCCATTGCAAACGACTTTTAGGCATGTCATTCAAGGTGTCTAACCATCGGTTGCTATCATCTCGCGGTTCCCAACCAGGTAGTCTACATCTACCAATATGGCTCAGTCCACTTGTCAGAGACTTCATGGATTTGTGCCATGTTTTGGTCTGGCCGCTTCTAGCTTATTGATTCATATTACTCTCGTGATTAGTTAGTTTGATGGCTGCTGGTCACAAAACCCTACTGTCCAGAGACAGACACATTCAGATTATAGACGCAAAAGCAACCACCGAACTAATCAGAACAATTTTGTTTGAACAACTAGACTACTTATCGGTCGCCGCCAAATCAT